TAAAAGACTTTTAAATAAAAAATTTGTTTTCTAAAATTTTTTTCAAAATTTGTAAGTTTTCTTTACCAAATTTGGATATTAATAACAATATATAAAATTTATTTCTCACTTTCTATTTTACTTTACATTTTGTATGAATAAATATGAATAAATTATAAAATAATCATAAAATATTCACGAATAAATATTTTTAAAAGCCCACAAATTTGAATAAATATTTAAATAAATATTTTCTTAATGTGAAAATTTTAAATGAATATAAATTGTAGTCCAATTACGAATTTTTTGTATTCATCGGACATACTAGAAATATTTCAATTTTAGCAATCTGTTCATCTAAAGAGGGACGCTGTTCATCTAAAGAGAGACGCTGTATATTATATTATTTAATATAGTTGTGTATAATATACAGCGTCTCTTTAGGTGAACAGATTGCTACAATTGAAATATTTCTGATTAACAATAATCTAAATATCGCTCGTAATTACAAAGATAAATATTAATAATAATTTAAGAGACCGTAAACGAGCAAATTTCGTGGGTGTACTAATAAATATATTTCATTCACATCAATATGTATGTACAGATATCTATAAATGCAGTACCAGTTTCGACTTGACTGCAGTCTTCATCAGCCGCTAAACAATTAATACTTTTATGTAATCATGTATAAAGTATTAATTGTTTAGCGGTTGATGAAGACTGCAGTCAAGTCAAAACTATATAGTACCACATTTATAGATATTTGTACATCTTGATATAAATAAAATATATTTATCAGTACACCCACGAAATTTGCTCGTTTACGGCCTCTTAGATTATTATTAATATTTAATTCTGATTAATTTTTTTTTTCGTTTCGTATGTTTTTATTTTGTCGTATATATGCAAGTACTTCCGATTACATTTCCTTACCTCCTGATTCGGGAGAGAATGCGAGCCCTGGAATGTGCCACTGGCGAAGCTGCCAGTGGAGACGTTAAGCGCGCTTATCACAGACGGTGGTGAAATGTTCATGATGTCGTTGCACCGGGAGCGCGGCTCGAAGTCCTCGTAGCCTAGATTATTCAGGTTCGTCAGGTGCGACTGAAAGTCCAGCAGACTGGCCGTGGAGATGCCGCTGTCGCGCAAGTCGTTCGGTTCGCTTCTCGGTTCCGTGATCTCGGAGTCGTCATCCGTGCTCCACTCCGTGTTCGTGCGTTTGTGCGTTAAGCCGCGCTTTGGCGGTGCCGGCGGTACTGCTGCGTTCGTGTTCGAGTCCCTCTTGTCTACCGCTGAAACAGGAAGTACGTTGCACGAGTCACGATCAGGGCTGGGCATATTTCAAATACTTGTATTTGAAATACAGTATTTGAAATACAATCTGTATTTTGTATTTTGTATTTCAGCGGAACACATAAAAGTATTTTGTATTTTATATTTCAAAT